AAAGTATTACCCTTATTGTATTTCTTAGTGGGTTCAGTTGTAATACGAGGCTATAATACAAACTTACGATTCTTTTAAAAATCTACGGTTCTTTTAAAAATCTGATATTATACGATAACTTTTAAACGAAACGGATGTAAAAATCTTCCATATTGAAAGTAAATTTTCTTTTAACTATATAATCTATTTGACCCATTTATTCGGTTCGAAATCGCTGTTTACTACTTCTTTTTACGGATTCGGTCCGATCCGAAACGTATTTAAACGTCTACAGCATTTTACGCGGTCCGCTAACCTCTGTAAATGATGTATTACTCGTATGCCGCCCCTATTTCCGTTAGAACTATAGCGGTACAACTCGAGAGCTACAGGACTTAAAATAATAATTTCGGTTGATATTGGTGAAGGATGTTACTCCTAATAGTGTAGGAGACTGTTCTAAAGAAGTCAAGACGTGCTGACGCATTAAGAAAGTCCGACGATAAAAATAACTGACCGGAATTAGTAAACAAATAGAACAAACCCAGAGTGCAGGTGGAAGCGCTGCCGTTTCCTCATAGACGCCGAAGTTGCACAGCTGCCGTTTATAAACTGCTCCTTTATTTTTTTCTTTCAGTTTTTAATCGCGAGACGATATCCTTGGTAATATCGTAGAGATTTTAGAGGACGGACGGATTTATCTATATCTTTTCCTTTACTTTTTAATTTTCATTCTTTGCCGAGGAAAATACCCGTCTGAGTTATTTCCGAACACACCCCCGCACAAAATACATTACGAGATGGCGATAAAGCTAACGTTTATAGTATTTTATCGCGGCTAGAAATTTCGAGGTTGCGGCAACACTAGAAATTAGTTTTATCAAAAGCTCCAAACTGTCAATGGCAACTGGCATTTTAGCGATTTTCATTTGTGACCTCATTAATATTTGCCTTCCCCTCACCGATTAAAAATTTTCCTTCACCGAAATAAAATTTTCGTGATTAAAAATTTTCCAATAATTCTTAATACGAAATTTGCACGTTTAAAATTCTTTCTTGGTCGACGACTCATTCATTTAAAAATTTGCCTACGAGGAGAACATTAATATATAATTTATCGAACGGCGGGAAGACGTAAAGGGTGCCGTTGGGTCGGAGATTGGAAAAATGGGAGACGTTTCCGGGCGGCTCCACCCAAAAGCGGAGCCGCTCCACCCGCGGGACTTACGACCGAGTCAGAGAAGCGACTACGATTTATAAATATTCAAAATTCCAAAGTGACATTCCCGGTGCAACCCTTCTCACATTCTGGCTTCTGCTCCATGCCGCCGCAAGACTATTCACACTCCGAAGGCCACCTACGAAGACAACGCGAGAGGCACCCGACACTCGAGCACTCAACGCGAGCGCGCAACACACACCAGCTGTGCATCCCCCCGGTCGCATTTTTATTTTACAGAAAGACGGTAATCAAATAAGGCAAAGTTACGAAGTCCAGGTACATTGCCCCGTTTGTTTTGACCGGACCGGATGGCAAAGCGCAACTTTAGACGTGCCCATCCGACTTCTGCGGACTCCCCTCCGGCCCAGTGGGTGCGGTCTCGTGTCACGGAGTCGTGCAGTGCAGTAATGATGGTAATCGCTTCGTAGCGGCAGCCAGCCGGAACAAAGGCAAGCCGCCAGCCAGAGAACGATAAGGGATCCTGCGCCGGCGCTGTCCGTCCCAGTGTTGTAGGCGTCGACCAAGCGGAAAGACCTGCCGAACATCCGTCGGCTAGAAGCGTAACACAGACCGGACCAGTCCGGTCGCACGGCACTTTGTAGCCCCCGACTCGACCTACCGAATTTTTGCCGAGGTAACGCCACCCTTGCACACTTATGGTCCGTGCAAGCCAACGACATGACTGGGTGAGTGGCGCTTTATTTTTTTTTTTATTTTTTTTTTTTCTGGCGGCTTTACGTCGTACCGGGTGTAGAAGTTGCGTGAGACTGTTAATTGGGGCCGCTACTGCTACACGGCGGCCGTGTGTTGGCAGAGCGTCCACGTGTCTCGTACTTGTTAATGCGGCCTGGCTCTATCGCGGTTTCTCTCGGCGGAGTGTGCTGCCGTTTCCACTGTTTATCGTCGGGTCTTAAGTGGAGAAAGTTTTGCCGGATCGTTACGTTGTCGACTCTGTCTTGACAGGTAATTGCTAACCTTACTTTTCGCCGCGTGTACCATTTTCTTTTTTTTTCTTCTTTCTTTTTTATTTTTCTCCGTTAAATCGCGGAGCGGACAATCCGGGGCTGCGTCCGGGATGGGTGGCGCCGAAACTATCGGAAAAGTCCCCTTTTCCGTCTGGTCCGTCGCCTACGTTTTTACCGTTTCCGTCTCCTTTTTCGTCCTCCTCTCCGAGTTATGACGTAAGAGCGGAAACTAATCTTCTCCCGCCGTAATTTTTCCGAAACTCTAGAACGTTTCTTTGGTTTTGCCGACGCGTTTCCGTTTCGTAATTAAGGATAAAAGACTCTAATCAAATTTTAGCTTTTATTAAAATTATTTTATGAGTTAATTGGTTTTCTAGGAGGGAAATATTCCATTTTTTTTAATTATTATTATTTTTTTTCGGAGGGGTCGTCTCCTCGGATGCCGTTCGATTCGGAGATCCCTTACGGGGAAGCCAGTTCTATTTAAGCAAATTGCGAAGTGCCACCGACGTGTGTCACGTCTTCGCCGACTTCCAACGCTGGAAATTAATGAGCCATTGAAAGGGTTGAGCGAGTTCCCAGTCCGTGACACCCCGTCGATGTTCCCTGGCTAGTCCTCTTCTCGCTTCCTGTCGTTTGCACGCGTCTGGCTTTCCTTTCATCGTCGTCTGTGTTAAAACCGGCGGCTAGCATTCGTTAGACTGCCGAGTTCGCAGGACCGTGTCGTTTGACCCCGGCTGACGCCAAAGGGGGGCTTGGGGGATAGAATTTTGGGGCCGACGGCCGATTCTTTTTCCCGCCTAACTAGCCCGAATTATCCAGATGGATTCTTTCCAGAAAAACTCACGAATGGATTTTATGGTCTGCATTCACGTCAGCGGGCTGCCGGACGGAATACGTTCGAACTTTTTTACTTGTGTTTTTTTGTATTTTTATTTTTATAAATATTCTTTTATCGGGGTTTATATCTTTCCTGCTATTTTTCGCTCGGTCGTTTCGACGATTTCGTCGCTTTACACTTTCTCACAAAGCCACCGAACTCACGTTTAACGAAAACTTTCCCGACGGTAACTCCGATACTTCTGATGCGCGATAATAAATTTCGCTGTCGCAATATTTTAAAGTGAATTTTCGTGAACAATTCCCGAAATAATTTATATTAAACTCTAAAAATATATAGTTTAGTCCGCCGGATATATTTAGAAATGCGTATTTTAAAAAATTATCGAGTCTAGACTGCTATAGAAGGTAAATTATCCCGTCTGTACGGCTGACGTAAGCCGAAGTTTTTAATAAGTTATTATCCCCAAAATAGGCGGCCCTTAAACGCACCGACTAGCTTTCCTCCCTAGGCCTATAGATTATGCCGTCTAGACGACGTCTATAAGCAGGCCTAGCCTATATTATTGATCAGCAACGAGCTTATTGATCGATCGCACAATTTTAGATTTTTAATCCCCTTATGGGCTTACATTTAGACACTGGCAAAGGGCTAAATTAAAGGGAAAGTGGATAATTCGGTTAAGGCCCACGGTCCTTTGAGATTTCGTTGACTGAGATCCAAATTTGTTCCGGTCCGTTTTAGGGGATCGTCGCATTTAGGCGTGAGAAAATGCGATCGCTTTGAACGTTTCGAAGGTCACCCATTGTCAGAGTTTTCTAATGGGAATTCGGAGGTCCGCACCAATTACAAAGAACCCATAACTTATCAATTAAGTGTTTAACTCGGTTCGTGACCCGACGTTCGAGTCGGAAGCCAAAAATGGGGCAAATCTCGTAAAATTGGCAGGAGTGTGAAGATCGTACAATTTGGCAAGAGTACCGAAAAGTGGGAAGACCTCGGAATTGGCAGACGAGCAGGAAGGGCTCATAATTTTGTCGGAGACTCAGAAGTGGAAGACCTTATACGTTTGGCGGTGAAGCCAAATTGCGTAAGCAGGATCGGACCACAGACAGAATTAGTTATTATTTTTTCGTTTATCATCCCGGGAATGTACGAAATATAAATCTGCGCCACTACATAAAAAGAAATCTTGGTCGGGCCACTAACTAATCATCCTAATCTTCCAGGTAGTGGGTCTAATCAGAAAGATAAAGTAACACGATCCAAAATGAGTGCGTGTAACTAGAGGTGGATGGCACGGTTTACACATAAACACCCAAATGCGTTACGCCGTACGTTTCAGGCGTTTTCTTCCATCAAAGGTTCTTGACCTCATTAATAACCATCTCTACATCCGGTTTTAGTTGTTTTAAAAAATTATTCGGAACGTCTTAATTTTGTTAATTTTTCACGGAGAATGTACGACGGATAGCACACGTTAGCATAAAATATCATTCAATCCACTTTTTTACGATTCCGAGTGTTTTACGATGGTAACAGGTGTATCTGCGCCTTTCCGAGGTCATTTTGATAATTAACCAATCACCGTTAAACTCACCCGTTAAAACGATTATAAATGGATAAATGATAAATAAATGTCACTCTAAAAATGCTCGATTAGTCGAAATTAATTTTCAAAATGACCGCGATTATGAAATTTTATTAGAAACAACAACGAAAATCATGGAGAAAGAAATCCGAATTGAAAATTTTAACGAGAAGACAACTCAAATTTCACGTTAAAAACACGCAAATCGAATAAAACACTTTATTATAACTTGATTCATAAATTTTAATCGATTAGAATTATTCAAATAATTAAATTTCTATATTCTAGAATAATTTTCTTTCATTGGTAAATTTAAACTTTAAGACCCGAAAGGGACGTAAACTATTCTAATTAAAATTCGTTGTATGTAAAATGAAGAGGGAAAAATAAATAAATTCGATTGGAATTAAATCATAGGCCTAAGCGAAACAAAATTCTCCACTTAAAAATAAAAAAAGAAATGTAGAATAATAAATTTTGCTGGCGAAGCGGCGACGTCCCGCGAAGAAGGATATTCTAAAGGCGTGCGTTCGATTTCTATTTTTTTAAAGAGGAGCGAGAGCTTTAAAGACGGAGCGAAGTACGACGAGACGGAATCCAAAATAGGATGCATTTTGGACGGAGGCAGTCGATATTCGTGCATTTCGGTTCGGTTAACCAACACATTAAGTTTGTGAGTTGGCTGCGGGAGGCGTGCACTGGCGAACACAGACGGACTCCTGTCTACCGTTAAGTGCGCCCTATCACGGCATCCGCCAAGCTTTCCTCCCCCTCCTCTCTCTCCGCTGCCCGACGAAAGGTTGGGGGGAATCAATAAGAACATGCGGCATGTTCATGTTAACCCGATTTGAGAAAGTTTACCATAGGAAAAAAGAAGGAAAGGGAAATTATTTAGAACAAAATTTTGGCCAAGGACCGACATGACGGCGGCGAAGGTATCGACTATCTGCTTTGCTGAACGGAATGCAAAGGTGATGGTCGGATAAAGCCGCCGCTTCTGCCGTCTTTCTTATCGGCTGGATGCTGTCGGCTCGGTTTTTGAAGTTTTACTAAAGTTTCTCTAGCTATTTTCGATGTTTGGAAATTATATAAACGTCATTTTCGGGGTTTTTCATTTATTCCGTCTTTTTATACATATATATTCCACGCGCTCTAACAATTTTCACAATTTTTAAAACGGGGAAAGAAGAAGTAGAAGAAGAAATCGTATATTGCCGGTTATCCAAATTCTTTCGAAGAATTTGCGATTGTTTGGATGCTTTTTTGGCGTTGTGATCTCTCTTTTTTAACATTCTTTTTGTAGCGCGGAGTCTTTCTAAAATTCCCCACGCATTTCGTTTTTGAACGCTTTCTGGGCCGTTCTTTCGGGCTTCCGCAGTATAATATGGTCAAACACTTTAAAATATTGTTTTTAAGATTTTATAGATATTTTGGACCATTTTAAACTTTCTAATTTTCCCCCGGGATGAATGTATTTTATGATGTCACATCCGTTGGAACGTTTCCTAGTTTCCGGAAGAGGAAAACGAATTGCGTATTTTTAATACATTTCGAATACGGAAAGATGTAAAATTTGAGGGCAATTTTAAATTTTTAATTATGATTTAAAAGTCAAAATTTGAAAATTTAAATAAGCGCCCAATCAGGAGGAGAATGTATTTATTAAACGCCGTGCGATTGGCATAATTTAAATTTGCTCCGTACCTTAAGAGCCATTATAAGCCGAAATAAAAACTCGGAGTAATTATCGTTACCCGAAATTATTCGTTGGACGATTTTTAAATTCGTAGAAATTTTAATTTTAGAATTTTCCGATAAAAATTCGAGAGCGGAACAATTTAAACTTCACCGAATATCTCGGCATTTTAAATGAGGATTACATAGAAAATGCCGAGTTTCATTAAACCGTTCCGTCTAGGGAAATGCATCATTATTGAGTAGACTCTTTCGGCTCTTTTAGCCCTGGAGCAATGAAAAAAGAGAAGCAGTAAAAACAGAAATGCGGCATTTTGGAATAATTTTGACTTCTACGCGGTTTTATTTTTCTTTCGCATGCGTCAGTCTGCGAAGATTAAGGTATTGAGGATTGGACTGTAGTTGGCGTGTGTTAATCCCCTCCCCTCTTCCCCATATAAGGAGAAGCGGTGAAAATTTCACAGCGGGTCGAAGCTAATCACTCGGAGACCGACCAAAGCACACGTGATTACCTTTCTAATGGCGCCGTCTGCTGCAACTCTCCGACCGTCGTTACATAGGCTCGGCACAACGTACCCAATACGGTTCAACGGACGACTGCGGCGTTTCTGAGCCGAAACTCTGCTACGACTTATGAAATTTGCCTGCAAAGAAACCGCCATAAATCTACAACGCCTAACGATTTAACTATTACCGAGTGGAAAATATTTTTCTAAAACGTGTCTTTTAAAGAAAAATTTGTTTGTCAGCTTGCTACTCCGATTTCCACAGACAGAGTCTCGAATTTCTAGCATTTATCCTCGTATTACGCTCCGTACCGGGTTTCTGAATCATTTGTAAAGACCGTCGGTCCGACGGAAACGTTTTTTGTCTGGACGAATCCCGTGACCCAAGGAGGGTGTCGTTGTAATACGGTGTACGAACTCAGAACATTTCCTGCACGCGCCTGGTTGCGTCACCGCGTACCTGTTACGTCTTTGGTGTCTGCGAAGCGTGTCGTGCCCGCGCGCTTTATAATGTTACCCGTACCGAAGAATCGGTGAACGTAACCGTATTCGCGTTGGAATATCTGCAGGAAACAGGAGCTGAGTTGTCTGGCTCTACGGTTTCCGGTGCAAATATTTCATGGAAGGAAGTCGGGTGACTTAACAAACGGGAGCGGAAATGGAGAGAGAGAAAAGGCGAGACGGCCGGTAATAAACTGGACTATGGGGGTGGTTGCACGGGCCGGGTTATTGACGCGAATCACTGACCATTACCAAATACAGCTTTACATACATGGTGGCATTTTTTAGAACTCTAAACTAAGCCCAGAAGGCACGTACTTCGACCCCGAGCTACTTCCTTTGTCTCTGACTCCCTTGAGCCTATAGCATGTGACGCGGGAAGCCTGTCTGGAGATAACCGCTCTACGGTCGGCTGCTCCCGACCGACAAGTCTCTTCCCTTCTCCCCTCCTGGGGGGTAAAGGGGAGTGCCGCCGAGGTGTGGGCCGTGAAGGATGACGGGACCTCACGTCACACCAGCCGGCCCGCGGTTTGCACAAACACACCCAGAGCCGAGTATGACGCGAGCGGAGAAGCGTCCACGCTTTCATCCTATGGATAATCCAGGTTGGTGACGTTATTTTTATCTTTTCCGCCAATTTAGGCCGTCTTTTTTATCGTTAGCGTCCCGCCTGCAAATGATTAATAGCGTTTCAGTACCCGGTTCCATTTAAGACTCGGCAGGGTCGGTATCTGATAGATCGAATTATATATTCTATGTAGCGTAGAGTAAGCGCGCGCTTTAAGATGTGAGCCGACTAATTGTGTTTTTCTTTACAGGGGGCGTTGACCTGTCAGCCATGTACTATACCAGTCTGTTCTCTACCCTTCGACCATACGAAACAGCGGTAGTGACACCTGGTTGCCGCAGCGAGCGGGGCGAAAACCCTTTGGACTTGTCCAACAAGAACGTTCGTCAAACACCGGATCCAACTACTGGAAGCGACACGGAAGCCGAAATCTTGATGTTGGAACACCGGAAACTTGCCGCAGGGTTAGTCTCTCAGGCCCTTCCAGGCATGACACGACATCTACCACCTTCGAGTGTGTCATCGTTTTTTGATCCGTCGCTCTTTAGACTGCCCGCTTTCCGTACGGATGCCAGCGGATTATGTGGACACTCTACACCCACTTTGGTACCGCAGATAGGTACGACACCTAACCCTTTTTGTTTAGATCGGACTCCAGTCTCGACGGTGGCATCGCCGACGTACGGCAACCATGCCCTAATGAATAGCTTTCTTCAGCAGCAACAAAGAGAACGATGCTTAGATCAAACTTCTGTTTGCAGTGCACCACGCAACCCGTCCCAACCCATCTCTTTCTTCGATCCCGTGTCGTTGCCCCTCCATCTAAGGGCAAACGGACAGCGGGAACGAGCATTGTTCACGCCGACACTTGCCGCACCCTTGGGACTGCCTGCCTACCCCCTCTACCCAGATCTGTTGTCTGAAGTGGGTAGGCCGGAGAAAGGAGCTTTTACATCACTTCGTACGCCGAACGCTGCCGATAAGCCTCTATATTTGAATGGAAGTCTAGAGGCCGCGCGATTTGCCGAACATTTACAAAGGTTGAGAGAACAGCACGTTCAACAGGCAAAGTGTCCCACTAATTGTTGTGCAACTGTTCCCTGTGGATGTTGTGTTCAGGGTCCTTCTCAGTCAGCACTGTGCACTGCCCGAGGCGGAGTGAATTGTCTCACCAAGGATCCGACTGGCGGAAAATTGTGCGCCGGTACTTGTGACCTTCTGACTCCAGGGCTCTCATTACTCGGCGCACGGCCGAACCCTGCTGATCTCCGTTTCGCTGCCGTCAATCCCTATTGCCCTACCTTAGGGGAGGGCCTCCAGAGAGACGATTCTGTTCCAGGATTGTTTCAGCCTTCTCCCTTATGGGGCGCAATCCCGACAGTGCCATTCCCCAAAAGTTTGGTTCCTCTCGCAACAACAACACCGTTCACCGTACCCAAGAAGAAAGATGTTGCGCAAATTAAAGAAAGCGCGAAAAAGGAATCTTCACAGAAGCAGGAGAAAGAGCCGGAAAAAGAGAAAGAACGAACTACTCCTTGTGAAAAGAGGGACGATCGCAAAAATCACCCGGCCTCCTCTAATCACAGGCACGACCACGATGTTATAATCATTGAAGAAAACTCATCGAGGACTACACCGGTGATCAAGGATGGCAGTAAAGGAAACCGCCACAAGTCTCATCACGCGGATGAAGCCCCCGCCAGCAAAATGCCCAGACTGGAAGCGGTGGTTTCCGAGAGCTCAGTCAGCGTCTCTCTACCGAAATCAACAACCCCGCTGAGTCCGCCTCCCTTAATTGCCGTATCGTCATCAGCCTCCGTCACCTCACATGTACCAACCCCTACCGCACTTATCACCCAGCCGCAATTTCATCCCTCATCCAACGACATCGTTCACAACGTCTACACAGCACAACATTTGGTGAACGAAATGGGTTTCTCTACCTCCAACAACCCCACTAAACTGATGGAGCACGTTCCGTGCATCGTTCCCACTCCTCACTACTTTGCCGATAAAATAAGTTCGGAACGCAAAGACATTCCTTTCGAACCTAAAATCAGACCATTCGACATCGCTCAGGTGGTGCAACAATCTCATCGAAATGAAGATTCGCAAAAGGACGTCAATCGAACTGTCTTACAGAACTTATTAACGGAACAGAAGAAGCAAGCAGAATTCAGACTTCCTTTTTCTAACGAGTTACCGCAAAACTTGAAGAATTCCGATAACGCGTGCGTCAATGTTAAAGAAGCGAATCAGGACAACGGCCAAGTTTTGCAGGTGAGAACCTTTATATTTAACGTATTCTACACTCGTTCACCCCCCTTCGTCTCGGCAACTTTAGGCTTGAAATTATCTTTCGGCTCGTAGCACGTGATTCACGTCAATCTCGAAACCGACCAATCAGCTCATATCAGTTTTCGCACGCGTGATCACGAAGCGAAACGAGTCTGCTCGACATTTTTTCTTTTTCTTTTTCCGGAAGCATCGAAGTTGTTCGTTCCGGAGTTCGATTGTGTCGTGACGTCAGTCTCCCCGCAAGTCGTTCGTCCCGACCTTTTATTCTCGTCCCGCCGTTCGCCGTTCGTTCTCTTTGTCTTTCGTTTTCGTTTCCGAGCGTCGTCGCCATTATAATTTTTCAATTTTTCCAAATAAATTATTAAAATATATTATATATTTATTTAAATTTTAAAAAAATGTGTCATCTGGTTAATTAATTAATACCGGTATATAATATTAACGCCTTAATTTATATATATATATATTTTATAATTCGTTGTCGTCTGAATGACCGAGTATTGTTGACCAAAGGATATGACCCGAACGGAAGAGAAAATTTTAATTTATTCAGAAATATCCGCCTTCCTTGGTAATGCTTTTTATATAACTCCATTTTTACTACGCTATTTTATATCGACACAAAATGCGTAATATCCGTAACGACGTCGAGAATTCTCGTAACGTGATCAAAATTTGTAATGGATCAAAATCAAAATTTGGCGGTGACTGCCCCGTAAAGCGAAGGAAGGAATAAAGTGAAAGCTGTCCATTTGGAGCGCCCTAAAATTTAAGTAGTTGCCACCCCAACCGTAATAAAACTCCGTCCCCATTACAGACTAGATTTAAGTCTGGCGTGCGGCTTTCCGTATACTTTGCTAGAAGCAGATGACGGGGAAAAGCTCGCACTCCGAGTGCAAACACACTTTCTCCTCCCCCATCGGAAATCAATGGGCGAGGCTGAGTAAAAGTGGTACCAGGCTCCGCAGGTTTGTATAGATGGGGAGAGAGAGAGACTCGCGCCCTCGGCTCCGACGTTCCATGAATCGTTTGCCATCGATCGGGCTCTCTCGCTCACCAACGCCTGTCGCTGGAGATGAACGCGGAGAGGGGGAAGCCACTAAGTTTTACTTCGTCTTTCAAGTGGAGGGAGGCGGAAAGTTTCTCCGTTTTTTTTTCTTTCTTTCTTTGCCGTCTTTTCACACTATAGCATCGGCGTGTAAAAGACTTCCCGCTGAATTTGCTTTTTGAGCTTCCATTTTAATATTTGTTCCTAGTTTAATTTCTCCACCCTTATTAATAAATGTTATCGGTCCTTGGCGCGCGAAACTAGATGAGAGAAGCTTTTTTGTAATGAGCAATCTAAACGGGATTCGTGCAAAAATTATATCGTAACGATTCGATACGCTATCTATGGATTCCCGGAGATCGAACGGCTGTCTAGCTGGTGTCCAGCTTTATGATGGGTTTCGGACTATAAATTAGGAGGCCCGTCGCTGCTCTTACCCATCTTTTCCAAATTTCTGGAAAAACTCTATAATTATATGGAGTTGTCGTTAAGAAGTAGAGACCCTCTAGGCTAGATGTAACAATAGAGAAGGTTCGAATAAAGTAAAACACTTATGTTTGGTTGTTTTCTTTCTTTATTTGCAATAGAGGACACTTCAGGATGACCAAGCTGAATATCTTCACAGAAATGCGTCTGTTGTGGTTAAAATCGCCAAGTCTCTCCGTAACAAGTCCCGAAGGGTAAGTGCCGTCTTTGATGTCAGCGGGGAACTGTTTGATAACACGGTGTCGGGCATGCGGTTTGTCATTGATGGATCGCAGCCTCTACCTTCTCTTTTCACGCTAGTCGGCGCTATTATAAAATATGCGAAGTTTCGTTAAGGGGCTCTATACTTTCTTTTTTACAGATTTTAGGTCTGAAAGATTACAGGAGAACGAGTTTGTATAAATTGTTGTCTAGGAAGTATAAACAGTTTTTGTATGATGAAATCGTTCGCGGCGACAAAAAGTTAAGTAAAGGACGTCTACGGAAGCGTCTGTTGACGAGGATATACCGTCCATCCGAAGGCGATTCGCAAGAAGGTAAAAGTGAGATCGAAGAGAGGTCAATGCCTCATGCCGAGTCTGTTTGGAAGGAGAAGAGGCTATTAGGCATGTATAACTGTCAAGTAATTAAGCGCCGAAGATTGAAGTCAGGGCTGGATATGATGATAAAGCGCAAGAGGAGGCCTCGACCCTCCATTAGAATGCCTCCTATTCCCTCATGGGAGAATGAAAATTCGTCCAAGGTATATTAGACCTGTTTGTTTTAAAATAAAATGTTCTAACGAAAGAGTCAGATGGGAAAGAATTATAAGAGGAAAAAGTCACTTTTTTTCGAAACTGTCTGCAGAATTATTTTCATAAAATAATATTTTCTCTAAAGAGAAGTGACATTTTTTCCTATGCTAATTTCTAACATAATCGAAGAGAGAATTTTAAAGTAGTTCATTAGACGATGCGGGTGCGGGTAGAAATGACATTCTTCTGAAAAGATTGTTTAAACTGCACATCGTTAGATGCTGCAGCAGAAATGTGTTAAATGGCGAGTAAATTTAAAATTATTCACCGAAAGAATTTTTAGATGGTGAAAGAATTGTGATTTTGTCCCGCTTTCTCGAAACTCGCGGACCGACAGCTCTTGGAGAAACCGCGCTGGCTAGCTCACCTGACAATGAGAATCTAATAAAAATATAGAAAAATAGTATCGTTTAGGCTGTTAATACGTGAGATAATTTTCTTTGAAATCCGATCGGTCGCTTTTAAGTTGTGTGGCTTAACATGGCGAGTAAAGATTCCCTTTAGATCCCTCCAGAGAGCGTCCTAAAGTCTACACCTAACCTTCTAGGGCATCGCGGGGAATAGGATATTTACATAATAAATTCTAGCGACGGCGACATCTGGTGGTATAAAAAATGCGATTTTGGCATTGGTCTATGGTACGTAGCGCGGTCACCCGCACAGATGTGCATTTTACGTCAGAATTTTAAAAAGGGTTGAAAGATGAAAAGGCCTAGGGTTTAATAGATGCAGAAGCTCGAAGGCTTATAAACTTTTACCCTAATATTTATGTTTAATAATTGATAACTATCTAAATAGCAATTTTTCTTTTACGCGAACGCGTACGCTGAACTCATTTTATCGTCAGATTTTCAACGTATCCTAATATAAATCGGTCCTAATTACAGGGCTGTAAACTTTTCAGAAATGACTAATGACGTGTTTTAAATAAATAAATAATTGTCGATAGTACATTAGTGTTTACAATTACAAAATTAATCGAGCTTTTGAATTAAATTGGTCTAATGAATTGTTCTTCTAAAGATTAAAATTTTATATAAAATCCGCTTACTTTTATCCACCACCGGCGAGAGGAACTTAAAAATGGTTCGGAGATTGATAAACGCTAAAATAGACTATATATTTTATTCGAATGTAATCACATTGTCATGAATGCTTAAGATGTGCAGCTGAGAAAGAATATAAAGTTTCCCAACCGGCTCTAAACCGATTAAACGATATAAGATTGGACTTGTCTATGTATTATCTTAAACTTAAAAAATGAATTATTTACAGGTACTTTCGGACACAACCAGCGGAGTACCACCCGAAATGAAAAGGTTAATAGTAAACAAAGCCTTGGGAGAGACCATATTGCACAGAGCAGCTCGTCTTGGTTATACCGTAAGTAACTCATCTTTCCTCATTAAAAAAAAGAAAAAAAATAATGGAAAAATTCCGATATAGTGCTTTACACCAAACCTTATTTTTAGGATGTTGTTGCCTACTGCCTTGACACTAATTATTGCGATGTAAATAGTCGAGACAACGCCGGTTACACCCCTCTTCACGAGTGTTGCACCCGAGGTAATCTGGAGATTGCACGGGCTCTACTGCAATACGGAGCTGACGTTAATGCCAGCGCTGCAGGAGGCATTAGGTAAATTACAAATAGGCATATCTATCTTGCTCTTTTGCTTGTATGCAGTTTAATTTTTTAGAATTGTTCCACCTTGTTTATCTCACGTAGGCCATTACACGATGCCATCGAGAGCGGGAATGTGGAATTGGTCAGATTGGTGCTTTCTTACGGTGCGGATCCGACCATCGCTACTTATTCAGGATTAACGCCTCTAAAATTAGCGAGGAGTCCTATCATGGCCGAATTCCTTCAAGGTAAGTTCGAGGAAATTAAATAGACAAAACGGTGAATTAGCGGTACATAGCGTTCTATCGAATTCACGTGTCGCTTTGGGGGAATCCGGTTAAAGTTTAGTCGCGTGACCGATCGTAGTTTGGTCATTAAATTATTTTTTCCTTTTTCTTTCCTGTTATACGTTTGACGTATTTGTGTAGGCTGTTTACATGCCGCTTCTAAATTGGATATAAATTCTCCGCGCCGGTAATGATCGGCTCGCAAATCGATCACTGATTGGTACAGTAATGATATACAACTTCGCTTCGTAATTTTAGAAGCCGACAAATAACGTGGATCACACGACCTATCATTGTTAGATTCTTCCGTGACTAAATTCTCTCCTTTCCCTAAAATGTTAAAGATCGGTTCAAATCCTGCTTCCTGTATATAATAATCCTCACGTGATTCCCGATTCCGGGTGCCGGTTCGTTCACGTAATAGCATACAATGACCAGCTGGCAAAAGCCATCGATCTGGCATTGTTGCTTCTTCCCGTGACCAAATTTTCTATTTTTTCGCTAAAGTGTGCAAAAGACCCGGGATTAAACTTTAACCGAAGAGAACAGGAGAGGGAGTGCCGAACATCACGTGGTTTAAATGGCCTTCGACCCAATACGCGGTATTTTACAGTAGGAAACGGAACCAAATTCCGCTTAGCGGGCGGTAAAATATGAATTCCGTTCGCGGAACAAAATTTTGTAAATGAGTAATAAATTATTATTATTTTAAATAAGTTTTTAATAAACTACCTGTTGAAAATGTACGAATTCATTTTGTGACTCAAATTATTTTTGGTTTTATGAAGGGTTCCTGGCTGATGTCACCGGTGAGAATAATGGCCGTCCTCTGTTACCATGGAGATTTCCCGGTTCTGCATCCTGTTTAGGTGAGTGACGTAATCACGCAGGATTTCCGTCACATCTTTTCCGCTTTATGTATTAGGAAAAAAAATAATAATTAATTTTAAAATTAAATGCGATTATCCGCTAGGTGTCTATCGTTAGGGTCACATTGGGCAACAAATGGCTCCCTTATGTAGCGTAAGCGTGTAGCGAAGGGCACTTTCTAACCGTTCAGTTCTGCTCGAGTTTTCTCGTCTTCGCGCGATACACTCAGAAAATTCTCATTAAATATCCAAACATAATATTATTTTAATTTTAATAATAAAATTGTTGATACAAAGTAAATAACGATAATAACAAAATGTTATTATTATTAAACTTCAGAAATTCTTTAGGGAGATAAAACGTATGTTAAATAAACAAGAGAAAGAAAACTTCTATTCTTTTAGGCCTATAGGCCTTTAGATAAAAGTGTATACTTCTTAATAAAAGTAAAGGAGCATTGAAGAAAAACGCCGCATCACTTTTCCATAATATGATCCGCCCTCCTGGGAACACATTTGGTTTGTTGAAATACTGAAGTTTTCTTGGCAATTAGTGCACTGATTTATGCCAGATCTGTTTTAAACTGCCTACAAGTGAAGAGTCTGCGATAGCAATAATAATTTTATCTCGAATTTAAACACGTGATTATTCCAATAAAAAATTAAAACATTGAGTAATCGATTTATCTCAAATATAATTTGTCCCAGGAAATCGTTACGAGATTTCGTGGGACAAATTATTTTGATATCATTGCTCATCGTTTAAAAAATATCAATTAATTTTGTTGGGAAAACATAATTAAAATAACAATTATGCCTCAAAGCACAATTGGATAAAATTTGGAGAAGTTCGCTAAAATAGGAACATAACTAAACACTAACAAAAACTTTTTAGACGACTTTAAGTGACGTAACAAATTACGTTACTTTCGCTTTTCAGATTGATCTATTTCCTTTCTGCTATCAGAATTTCATCTATAAGGTTATATATGAGTCAAAATTATTAGAGATTATTATCTAAATGATCGTAGATAAACGTATAGAATAGAAAATTTCTTGCCTACCCTGTATAGCAATTACAATTTTAAATGTCGCTTCGTATAGGTACGAATCCAGTAATATATTATTGTTTAAAAATGAAATTATTTCTAATTTCACCAAGCATTTTAATTAGTTAAAACCTTTTTGAAATCATAAGAGTAATATATTTGTGTATGGTTAAGGATGAAGAATAAACAACACTATGGGCAATGTATTATATTCGGCTCTCTTCATAGATGTCAAGGTGAATTCGAGTCAATGAAATCCATAACTTATTTACTGATTTTCGATCGTGTTAATGAAGAAAGTCGAATGTATTTCATGGGACAGACTTTTCTCATTCTTGACCAGACACGAACATTCGAGATTCCTCGAAGTTTTTGTCTAGTAAGAATAAGAATTCTCTTTATTTAACAAGGGTCCTCCTCGCGGTATCCAACAAATATATTTTCGAGGGCCTCCTATAGATGTCAGGGACCTTCGTAAATCTTGAATCTATACATTACGGGGATTGTAGGTATCAGTGCCCTCTTTATTTGCTTTTCTCTGTATTCGGGATGATCAGTAGGTCTTTGTTAAGGTCGCACTTCTTAATTTTCTCCATACTCAACAAACCTTATTAGTATAAATTATATGGTATATCTGAGAATATCCGCGTTTTATATATTTTAAATATTTAGGTTAAAAACACACGTTTAAAATATTAGGAAATTATACAAGACTCGATGTTTAAATATGATCTTAGAAAAACTTAAAAAACCGGATAAAAAATGGCGTCATACTTAAAATTAGCACGTTGAAGCGCCCTAAAATACGATGCGTTTTGCGTAAATTCTGTTTAGTGAGATAGCTTCACGCTGAAAGATTCCGAAGGTTTCGGTATGTAATTCTATAACAGATGTGGTAATTTTAATCGGAATTAGTTTAGGAGAAGCTGACGGCATCGTTAGCGGGATAACTTACATAAATTTCCAATCAAATTAGGTTAGTCATTCGCGTTTTAAACGGAACTTCGTTTAATCACACGACGTTTTAACTAAAATTTTTCCTTTTTTTTCCTTCCAGATTCAGCCGATATAGGATACGACATCTTCGACGGCGTACCGACAGATGCTGAGGGCGATGCCGACGGGGACATCGACTTCCTGTTCGAGGTGAGCGAAGCGCCTCATCTTCCGGCTTACCGGCTACAGTTGCCTGCCACCGCGAACAAGCCGTAAGTACGCCCCGCCTAAAAAACACCCCTAGCTTAGGCCTAGCACCCAACATGGCCGAGGTGGCAGGTATCGTAAACTTAGTTGTACCCACACGCGTAAAGCGGCTCTTCCTTCTAGTAAAGCTTCCTGCCAACTCCGAATATTATCCCTGTGTACAACTGAGTCTGAATATTCAGACTCCAGTTGGGTGCGCTTGAATTTATTATGGAAGGACGAGTGCTAGCTAGTTAGAATTAGGGGCAAACTGTTTGGAATTGTGATTAATTATATCACTTTTTATTTCTATTTTCAGCGCCTGTAACTGGTTGAGGCTGAGTGACGTCCTAAACAGGATAGGAATGGAGAGAGAAGAGTTCGTGAATCATCACGCTCATATCGACATTATATCCGTTCCCAGGCATCATTTCGAACTTAATGCTGTGTGCAGCCAACTTCTGACCAGTAGAAGACATCCCGTCACCACAGAATTGGAAGAAAACGTGGAAGTGGTCAAGCTGGATAACAACATCCGAGAAATCCTGGGTATTGAGACTATTATCCTTCGATAGCACCACGTGGAGGACCAAGAGTGGTTTAGTGCCCAAAATTGATCGACCAAAGCCCATTTCTATTGGTGTGTATACATAAAAAAAAAAAGAAAAAACGCAAAAAAATAACATTTGAACGTTCCTATGTGCTTGTAGATAATCATTGCCTTGTGTTTAAATGTTTATCATGTTTTTTCTGTGTTCGCTCGGAATCGGGATACCAAAAAAGTGAATTAAAAAAAAGAGAGAGAAATAGAGAAAATTGTCTATGTGTGTCATGTCTGAATGAGTAGACTGCGCGAACCGAGCTTCTATCGATCTGGTTCCATATGGGGCACAGGAAGCGCGAGTGCTCTATTATTAATTGCATATAAATAGCCGAGCTTTCTGACAGCTTTTCCCACGGCACCGATGCCTCTACAATTCTAGTTCGGCCGTTTGTAAGTACGTTAAGACTTCGGGGTGGCTAAAAGAAAAAGATGACGTTCTCCACCCGCTCCTTTTCTTTTTTGAGCTCTCTTTAAACTCATACAAGTTCCAGAATTCTCTCTAGTGGGGAATATCAAGAAACTGCTGAAGGGAAAAGAAGTATACACTGGAAGACAAAAGATGCCGCTCGACGGAAGCACAACAAAACTATCTCATTGGAAGGTAATGGCATCAGCTCATTGGAGGACAAATAAAAACAATTCTTAGTGGAAAATAAACAAAAAGCAGATACCAAGCAGAGACTGACCGAGATGCCTAATGGGAAATAACCAAGAATAAAAGTTTTCTCTTTTACTTTTTCTACAAAATTTCGTTTCTAACATGCATACCGTCGGCGCCAGACTTTACGATGTAAGTCACGGACCGACGACAGGTGGGCACAGTTGTAAAAGGATGAGCTTACACTTATATGTGTGCAATTAAGGGTCGACGAGAAGATTTTGCGATATAGTGCGTTACGTGCGTTGCGTCGATAGAGACGAAACTATACAGTTAATTAGGAGAACGCAATTCGCTTTTTTTTAAATAGAGCCAGGTCTTTCTATCTGTTGCAGAAAACTAAAACTTCTGATGAGAAGAAAGATACTATACAAGGGTAAAACACGTAAAAACGTTCTTAACCTAATTAAAACCTTTTCTGCTAAGAAAAACTCGCAAACATTTAGACTTTTATTAATTTGAAGTAATGGAAACTTTTGGCTTAATTAAAACTTTTGACTCTATTCAATTTTGACTAAAGAATAGATTTTTCTTTTAGGCCTTTTAATAAGCGGCAGAGAACATTTTAATTAAAGAAAACATTCTGAAAAAGCTTAAACATGCTCTTTTTTTCCCCCGTTATTCTTACCTAAACTCATCTTGCAGAATTAGGATGAAATACTCGAGGCTTGGGGCCAAAATATTTTTAACATGTCATCGGACTCCATCCAAAATTATATATGGGTTTATCATAATATAGAAAAAAACCTATCGAATTTTTACTTCTTTCGTTATCGGAAGGATATAAATTCGGCAATTCGCAAGCGCTTAGTAGAAATAACGCCAATGCCTATAATATCTTCAAGCTTAAGCCGATATATAACCTCTTCCTGTTTAAACTTATAGCCCTTGAGGAAAGCTGTGCACATCGCTTCCATATTAATTCTCTTGACTATAATTTTATAGACTTTACTAAATATTATATAGCTCTATCCTCTACAGATTTCCAGAGAAATTACGGTAAATGGTAGCCTTTAATTAAAAGTTTTTATAGAGTTATTTTATGAGGTCGGAATTTGCGCAGTTGGGATTGCGCCCATAGGCAAAAGGGCCAAAGAAGCAAAGTGGATGGATTAATTTCATTTCGGTCCGGTTTCTAATCAAGTTTTTCCAGTTGCGGCATTTCTGCTTGCATATTAGGCAAACTGTTATAGTTATCTCTTCACGAAGAAGAAGAATTCCTCTTTTTTTCGATCGATTCTACCTAGAAATCGATGTGGAAGCAAAGGACGGATTTTTATCACGGCACTTCCGGTGACGCCAGCCTCGTTATGGATTGCCCGACTTTTTTCTAGCTCGTTGCATTCCTCTTTCACCCTTCCTGAATATTCCAAATATATCATTGGCGCTCCTTTTCTTTTTTTAACAATTCTGAAAAATAAATTTGCCCCCTTTCCATTTTTTTCCAATAAGTTAAAAACTCGAAAATTATGGTTTCTTAATTTCAAAAAATTGGATATAATCTATATTTTGGTTAGAGATTCTTTTATCTTATCTCGTTATTTATCTTCCAGACATTGGAGGGAGGAAATCGTCCCTTTTGAAACGCTCTTAATGTCGGGTCTCTGTTCGCATTTACAACCTAGATTTTGAACTATATTTGTCTGCAGGCCTCATATGAAACCGAAAGACGAATGAATCGTATGTGGGTCATATTAAAAAGGAAAAATATACTTTTTAAGAAGGTATCATCGATATTTTCCTTTCTTATCCTGTTAACAGATGTGAACAGATTTTGTCTTAAACTGTTAAAGAAGGATCTTAGACTTACTGGAAAGCACAAAAATCCAATTTGAAGACTATCCACAGTTTCTATAGAGCTCGCACCCGAGCATGAACGTGGTCTCAATTTTGTAGAAAGCTTCTTAAGAGAGATGCTTGATGTACTATAAACAACGAGGGCAGCTAGTATAATGTTCAAGTCATCTAAATTGTAAGGAGATTCAGAAGTGCTCTTCTTAATTAACGATAGTCTAGGACGCTTTTTTGATAGAAGAGAATCTTAAAACTCCTAAAGTTAGCCGAAAACGAGCTTCTATGCTCTTTAAATCCAAGCATCCGTCACCAATTTAAAAATGATAACCACTTAATCAAAAAGAGAAAAATCCAACAGACGTACTTGAATTTTTGACTCGTTTTATCACGTGAAAAGATCAACAATGGACGACCGGACAAAAGCAGTTTGTTGAAAGACAATATTTTTAGAGCTTTTAAGAAAGTCGGCAGCAAAGGAAGACGACGGCTGTGCCTCTCTGATCTTTTCTAGCATCCGCATTGGATTCATGCCAACCTTCGTATATACACTCCAACTGTTGCTAATAGTTATCGCCTATTTTTGTTCTAGTCGTTCAATCAGACACCGCAACACTAAAAGCGGCAGTTTCACCCAAACAGCGGCCTTGAAAAGTCCGATCGAAAAAATTCCAAACTCTAAAATTACCAATAAATAAACTATTTATAGACGTTCCAAACGTCGAAAACGGTATTATTTAACTAAAAAAAAAAACATATATATATATTAAAAAATAAAGGAAAAGTCCAACTCTTTCGAGAGATCGGGAACGATATCCCGTTAGAAACGAAACCGAGCGGCCACCGTAGTTGTTTATCAAAAAAGGTTGATCGACCGATTTATTATTGTTTGCACCGACGCTATTTAGAGACACACGCGCAAAGTTAAGATGCCTGTCACGAGCAGGTGGTGTTAATTAAACAGGGGTCCTATCGGGATCCCGCTTCCATCAGAAAATAAGCGCTCGAACGGCCGACCCGGCTAAATGACCGCCCGCGCGATTAATCCCGACGATAAACGTGAAAGTGACGTCACGACTGAACTTTACACGTTATTCTAAAGGGCAGACACGTTATCGCTACACTCGTCTCTTACGATTATAACAGAAAGAAAGAAAGAAAAAACCGCGTGAAAAAGAAAGGAGAGGTAAAAGTACTATACGTATTTTGGGTAAAGTTTCTGAATGGGGAGAGCGGTTAACTGTAGAGTGGCGTGTCCTTTGCTTTGACCCCAGCCTCTCTTTGTCACGGCGAATAGAACAATCGCAGGAAATTCACCACCTGTTTCACACCGAACAGCCCACAGTGCCATGTGGGAGGTCTGACCGCGCCGCTCCGTTTTTATCTACAGTCCGAATCGGTATCGGAAGTATTTTTTTTCTTTCCCTCACATCGGAAATCAACGTCATTGTTTAATTAATAAGATACGAGGCGAAAATTCTTCTCGCGAACGACCAAGTCGGTTTTTTAGAAAATTACGTTCGAGGCGGAAGCCAACAGATTATCGAGAGACGCCTTGGCAATTCGACAGCAGAACAAAGGCTTCGATCCCATCAGCTACTATCCCTCTCCCCTGGCTTCCGTCTGCTGAGTGGTATGACCCCGTCTACATCGATCAGAAGCGAAGTAGGTCCAGAGAGAGAGGGCGCTGCTCGCCGCTAATCCTGATCGTGACAATATTACGTTCGTCTGTCAACACACGTCACGTGGTCCTGGCTATTTTTTAGTTCCTCCCTCTTTCAATGAATCAGTGAGTCGGCCGTTTTTTGCTCAGTTAGCTATCAGGGAAATTTCGTCTGGAATGTTAATTTCGTGGGGAGTTTTCCCTGTAAATTTTTGAAATTTAAATTTTATTTCGTAATTGAATAATGAGATATTTGTTTGTCGATTACGACACCGCAGTTTGAAATGTGACATCTGCATGGGGAATTTTCAGGGAATTTCTCCGATATTAGGGATATTTTTAGGTAAGAAAATTCTCGGAAATATCAACATTTGGACAAAATTAATCAATTATTTCTTTTTATTTATCTCGAATTTTTTAAACGTTTTAAAGTTTAAAACAAAATAACTTTAAAAAATAATTACGTGTGCTTTTAAACAAAATTAAATTCGATTATAAGTGAAATATTACGTTTATAAAACGGGAAAAAACGTGATAATTTTAAAATTAAAGATTAATTTCGTTCATAGAATATCGATTTATTTGTTCATATTTTTCAGAATTTTTCTTTTGTATTTTTTTTTATAATTTAATTAAAATTTCGTTGAAGAATATTAGGGATATTTCTGAAAGTTCAATTTTGAGAATAGGATGATAGATTGTTTCAAAAAATTGGGGAGTTTTCGGGGAAATTCGGAAATGGAAACTTGATTTGAAATATAATATTAAGGAAAAATTTAGTTTAGATTTTGAGGGAAAATTTGAAATGGAAAGTTAATTATATTGGGGAAATTTTTTGAAGAAAATTTTGCTTTCGGAATATTAAAACAGATATTTCAAATGTGATATTTTTTTTACTTTCCCCTTTAGTTTTTGTTATTGATTATCGGGAAAAATTTTAGAGCAACGCTTTATTCAAATATCTAGGGAAATTTATTTTTGATCGTTTCGTTGAAAAAATATCAGGATAATTTTGGAGGAGAATATTTTGATTTGTAAAATGAAAGAAAAACATTTTTTTTTTTTCTTAAAAATCGAATGTTAATTTTGTCATAAAGAAA